CCTGATCCGATGGAACAAGGACAGAAGTAGGCGTGACAGTATATAAATACTAGATCCAGATAGCAAGTAGAGTTTAGTCCAAGATTATTGTAGGGGGCATACGTAGGATTTGAGGGTATTGCCTAGTCGAACACGCTCTGCTGGAATACTTTTGCTTGTTTTATTTATATATTCAGTTGTTGTTTTATTTATGTAGTGTAGTGTTTTACTTATATGCATAAATATATGTATATATAAAATAAAAAAAATATGTATATATTAAATAAAATTCAAGGTATTTCCTAGACAATCATACTCTGCTAAAATATTTATTTATTTATATATTTATTTACTTATTTGTATATAAATATTTATTCTGTTCGATGAAAGTATTTAATTAATTGCCTTAATGGCTGCAGCGTATAATAACCTGATAGCCCGCTTGACTGTTAAAGCAACAAAAATTGTTGCAAGTCCCTTTAAAGAGCTTGCTGCAAATGCTCTGTTTATTTTATTTTGTTCTCTGCTGTTGCTTCTCTTCCAACTAATTTGCACATTTGCTTTTGCTGTTGTTTTAATGCCAAAGCAAATGTTTTTTCAACTTTGCAGCAAGAAGCTGCCAAGTTGGGTGTGTATGTGTGTGTGCGTTAGTGCTTGGAGTTAGATGTCTTTAAAGTGACACGTTAAAGGCAACAAGCGCGATGCCTTGAGGGGCTGCAGCAGCTGCTTTCAAGTCAATTCGCCATGGGCTTGTTTTCGTCTCTTTGTGGTCTGTTGCAACATGCAACATGGAAATGGCGGCAGCTGCAACAGCCAACAGCCCACTGCCAACTGCCAGCCACCAGCCACCAGCCACTTGCCTTTTGCGTGTACTCCGAGAAGGCGGCCAACAGCATTTCCGGCGCTTTTGAATTTTTGGGCTATCGCATAGCGAAATGAGTTGCACTGCCACAATGCCAATTTAACTGTATAATTGCAACAGAGCAAACAAAATGCTGATTACAGTGTGAGAGTGAGTAAGGCAGAGAGAGAGTGAGAGAGAGAGACAGAGAGTAAGGCATAATAAGCTTGGCGTGAGCTGCATTTGCTGCAATCTGGTTATGGCATGACTTAAAGACGTTCATTAGAAAGAGTTTAGCAGAGCAGCCACAAAAGGGCCACAGAAACAAAAACCAGGCTAACAATGAGCGCCAACTGGGCGTATGCTGAATATGGGAAATGCTGTCGTTGCTGCTTGTTGAGTTTCCTTCTTCTTTTTTTTTTTTTTGCCTACTCCATTTTGAATGCTTTTTTAATTATGTGATAAGAAGTGGAAGGAGCTGAAGTGGCTGTCTATATGTATATCAAATTATATATATAATTATGTATTATTATGTATGTATGTAAAGCTGTGGCAGTATATCTCGCATTAAGTATACGCAGAGTGGGTCGTAGTTGACTTTTACTGTTTTATGCAATTTCAGTCTTTAAGTTAACTAAATTCTAACTAAGAGAAGGAGTATTAAACAACAAATTATTAACTTGTATATCACCTGTAGCTATTCTACCTTGACAAGGGTATTTATGCTGCCATATTTTAGCGACACTAAAAACTTTATTCTTATGCGCCCCTTTATGCATATCATATTTATTTATCATATCGCATAAAAGAACGCTGCCACAGCCACTCAGTCTAGACTTTTAAGTGTTGCACTCGCTGCAATTCACACACACACATACACACACACCTGCTCATCAACTGTATCGTGTAGCTGCATCTCATTGAGCGTGCGCCCAACTGCCGTCACCTTATGCAATTTCTTTTCTTTTCTCCCATTTTATATATATGTAGATATGTTTTATTTTCCAGCCAGGTGAATTCGAATGTTGACTTTTTGCAGCTGCAGTTGCAGAATGCGTCACGTATTTGATTGAAATTCCATTTGATTATTGATGCTGATGAGTTTTACGCTGATGACAGCTGCTGGCTGGCCTCAACTTTGCACTTTACGCTCGATAATGCCTCAGCTGTGTCCCTTTCTCTCTCTCTCTCTCTCTCTCTCTCTCCATCTCTCTCGCTCGCTTTCTCTTATTCTCTTTGGATTTCATATTGAATCTATTTTTATATTTTTTGTACAGTGCCCAAGCTGTCGCAGCTTGTCTCTGTCGGCATTACTTGTGGTAAGCGCACGCGTATATATGTATAGGTGTGCGTGTGTGTGTGTGTGTGTGTGTGTGCGAGCATATGCCACATTCTTGCCTTAACTTGGCCAAGTCAAGTTTATTTTTGCTATGACCTAAGTTAGCTTGAGCCAGTTGCAACGGCTTGCATAATAATAATAAAAGAACAAAAATCTACTTCTACGGGCAGTAAATTGCAAGCAGATCAGCAGCATCCTGAGTGAATTTTATTATTTTACAGTGAGAATTTATAGATGACATAACATAATTTTTATATATATTTTTTTATTATATAGAGGATGACCAAACTAGATTGATTTAATTGCCAATATATCTATAAAGCAGCAGCTGCTTGAGCTAGCAATAAATAAGTTTTGTCTGTTGATTTTACAGTTTATTTTGCTGTCTGTTCAAATGGAATCAGGCTACTCAATAGCTCTGATGAGCACTCCATCAAGCTATATCTCTTGGGCATTGCTCTGTCTTTGGTTAATGCTAACGAGGCCGTCACTTTGGCTGAGCTGCATTTGCTGGCATTCAATCTTGTCCTTCAAGTGCTTGGGCACTCCCAGTGAAGTCAATATGAATCTATATCAAATGCCATGCATATAGCTTCAATACGCAACCACAAATACCGTAATACATCGCAGCATTTTCAATATTCAGCCATTTCATTTGCTCTGCCTTGTATTTAGTCGAGGAAATCAAATCCAAGAAATATATTCATATAAGCATATAAAATGCTCAACATTTATAGCTCGACTCGTTCCAGTTTCTTAGATCATTTCGTATACAGTAGCTCTAATATGTTAATGTACACAAAGCAGATGCAGATGCTGTGGCTAGTTGTTTGCTTTTATAATTTTGTTGTTGTTGTTGTTGTTGTTGTTGTGGCTGTAGCTTGGCCTGATTATGTTAATTTCCATTAGTTGCATTTGAGTGCGCATATGTCGCTTCATGTTGTCCGTCTAACCAACTGACAGGACTTAAGACCCTAAGCAGCTTGTGCCACTGCAGGCGGCTTACAGAGGTCAAAACAAGAGCTTAAATTGCAGCAGCTGCAATTAGAGCGAATATTTTGGCAAATATAAATGTGAAATGCAGCTGAAAATATATTTAATTCATGTGATTCGATAGCTGTGCTGTTTAGCTGCTTTTACAGTTGAGCTAAAAGTCTATTGACCATGTGATGTTTGTTGTTGTTGTTGGCCAAGTAAGTGAAGTGTCAAAAGCAGCAACTCAAGCAAGTCAAGCCAATCTAAGTGGCTAAGCATTAAACACTTCATTTAAGTACTCGAATACAATAAATTTTATTAATGTATTGTATATACATAAATAACTGTAAATTTGTATATTTAGAAATCTCCAAATTTGTCTAAATATAATTTCATTTATTTATAATTAGCTGCGGCTTCCTTTGCAGCTTATTTAGTTTCAATTGCGCCAGCTGCTTGTGGCTGCAGGCGCTAAACAAGTCCATAATAACGCTCACAGCTGTGTGAGTGAGTGAGTTCGTGTGTGTGTGTGTGTGGGAGGGGGCGTGCCTGTAGCCAAGTGCTGCCAAGTCTAATTAGCCCCATAATTGAGGCCGACATTTGGCTTTAGCCGTGACAGTCCTGCAATTAAAATTCCTTTGCCACCACTCATGCCACACACTTGGCCCAAAGGCGCTTGTCGCACATGTCGAGCATTTGAGGCTAACCAGATACACTACTACTGCCAGGCGTAGCTTCATTTTTTTTTCTCTCTCTCTCTCTCTCTACCACCCGTCCATTTCTGTGTGCAGCCTGCAATTCGGTTCAGTGCATTTGCATTTGCATTTGCAGCTGCCTCATGCGGCATGCGGCATGCAACGTGCGGCACGTGGCTGGTCATTATTAGCTGCATTGATTTGGCTGCCCCATTCAAAAGCCGTTTTAATTGTTCGGGGAACTTCGATTGGGGCAGCTCCACTAATTGCCTGCTGGCTTTTTATGAAGCGAGCGCGTGGCAAGTGGCAAGTGGCAAATGCAGCAGCAATTCGCAATTGAGGCCTTAATTATATTATTTTTTGTTCAGCAAATTGAAAACTCAACCAAAGCAGGAAATTTATTTTTAAACTCACAAATAATTGTGAAGCATAATAAAAAAAAAAATGGTGTGGATTTATTTTATATTTGAAACTAATTAGGGTGAAAATTGGCATACAAATTCATTAATTGGGATTTCCTTGAAAGCTTTTGATAAGTTTTGAAAATAAATATTAATTGATAGTTTCAAATATACATATAAATTTCTTATGAAAATAAAATAGTAAAATATGTTGACACAATTTTTAGAGCTTTTTGTTATAAAAAAAAAAAGTAAATAAATACTTAAAATATAAAAAGCAAATTTATAATTATGTTCTGCAAAAATTATATTAAAATATATATAATATATAATATAGTTGCTTTAAATATTAAAAAAAAATAGAAATTATAATTAGAAATAAATATTTTCATAGATTTTTTACCATCTCTAACTTTTAAATAAATATAAAAAATACTTTCTTAAAAAAAAAAAATAAATAAATAAACAAAGTTTTAAAACTCAACCCAGACGTCTTAATAAGCTAATATGCCTCTTTTTATTTATCACAAAACCAACATAATTTAATTCTTTTCAGTTATTTATAACATTTAAATTTGTGATTTTAGCCACATGTTTTCACGCTTCAGAAAACATTTGTATAAATAAATGGTTAGCCTAAATAAACTGATATCTAATCAAATATCAATTGTCAGCGCATGCTAATTGTATTATTTTCTATAACTAATTAAATTAAATATTCTATCCATATATAACTATTTAATGCATTGTCTTTCTCATTCCCATTGCAGACGAAACGATTTATCCGACTGGACAACATTTGCATGCAGATTTAATAATGGTAAGTTCTATGTTGATTTAATGCAGCAGCTGAAACTGAAGCTGAAGCTGCCAAATTGCCTGAATGTGTTGTATGGTCCTTCCGTCCACCTGTCCGCTTGTCCACCTGACTGGCTGTCTATCCGTTTTGCCGCCCCATGCCCCAGGTTCCGTGTCGTTGACATTCGACTAATTAATTTCACGGCCAATTGACGTGTGTCAATTAGCTGGGCACGGTTCGTGGGGCTTACGCAAAGTTCACATTGAAATTTGTGTGTGGAACGAGAACTTCAAAAGTCAATTACTATATTACATAATAGTCTCTCGTTTGGTTGTTTGCTGGTTTGTCGGCTTGTTTGCTCACGTATTTCTATGCACACACGTTATTGTATTAATAGCCAACTAAATCTTGGCTTAGGCACAGCCACTCGAGCCAATTGACTTTGATTCAATTTATTGCCCAAATATGTAAATTCATGCAAGTAACTTACAACATTTGCTCCTAACACTCAATGTTGGCCTATTAGAGAGAACGTGTTCAGCTTATCAAGAATATGTTTTATTCAAATGCCATCGAGACTTGACATTTTCTTGCCTAACCTTTGTTGACCTTCAGGGCGAAACAAGGCTTTAATTGATCATTAATGTACTTTTTGCATACCCTATTATTGTTGAAAATTATGTTTGAAGGTGAGGAAGGGAGAGAGAGAGAGAGAGAGGGAGAGAGGGAGGGAGAGAGAGACAGAGAGAGGGAGAGAGAGACAGAGAGAGAGAGAGAGAGAAGAAAGGAGAGAGAGGGAGAGAGAGATATTGACTGAGACAGAGAGAGAGAGAGAGAGAGAGATATATAGACAGAGACAGAGACAGAGAGAGAGAGAGAGAAAGAGAGAGAGAGTCTATTAGCCAGTCTAGTACTACCCTTGACAGTTGTCATATTTCTTCTTCTTTCTTCTCTCGTCTTTTTTTTTCTCAATTAAAGATTCCTCTAAAATGTAAACAAATAGTTATCCAAGTACTACCGTTCAGAGCAGTCTAAGTTGTTTATATGTCTATTTATCTACTTTCCTCCTCTTAAGTTTCCAACTTAGGCTATCTTCAAAATGATGTATAATGTTTCGTTGGGAGTCATTTCCTATTAAGACAACTTGTATAACATATTCGCCAGAGTATTTTCAAGTCGGGCATTCTCTAATTACTCGTACTCGTGTATATTGTATTGTATTGTATCTATCTCTGTTTATGCTGAATTAGATTCATTATCTCACATGCACGTTCTCTCTAGTCAGTTTCCCACTTTGCGCAATACTTAAACATTTATCACCTGGGGTAATTCCTAACTTATATTTATATACATACATATAGGTATATTTATATATATGTATATATATGTTTCTTTGCTAAAACTGTTTTGTTTTGCAATGGCTCACACGCCTTTGTTACTCACTTTCCGACTTGCTCAATGCTTTAAATATATCGCCTCTCTATGCGATGCTCATAATTTCAAGTAGTGCACACAAACATCTTCGAACAAAGAGCTGAGAGATGCCGCACTATATTTATGAACTTGTTTGTGATAGATCCGAAATCAATGGCCGGCATTTTGTGAGCTGAGCAAAATACTTGCTTACGAATTGCGCGTATAAAGTTTCCGTATTTGTCTATTAAACTTGACGTATTAACGGATCGCATTAATCTTCGTTGTCTTTGACGCAATTCTGTTGTTCTGTTTTCTCTCCCTCTCTCTTTCTCTTTCTCGCTCAAGCAATTTGCTTGACTTGCTGGGTCTTGTTTTTGGTTTGGCTTAAATGGCGTTAAATGAATGTTCACAATGTACGCCAAAAGCGATTAATTTGAGAATGTGTGGGTGTGTGTGTGTGTGTGTGTGTCTGTAGGTGTGTGCGTGTGTGTAGCTCGGTTGCGCTCACTTGGGCGTGGCAACAAACTCGAAAGCGGCAGCAAAATGTCGCCTACTTCTGTTCGGCCCCCCGTTGTCTGCCTGTATCCTCTGGGCTTCCCTCCCCCTCCCCATTGGAGCTGCTCGTTGGGCGTGTGAGAAGCAATTTATCTTTGGCATTTTGCTGTTGCTCCTGTTGCTGCTTACTTTTGCCTCGCCATCTGCTCCTGCCTGCCTCTTCTTCTTCTTCTTCTTCCATCTGCTGTTTTCCCGCTCGTGTGCTGGGCAAATTATGCGAGTCGCGCATTTTTGTGTTGCATATTTTTGTGCGCTCGCTTTGCCGCTCTCCCTCACACGCACACACCCACACACACACACACACACTCGCACGCACACATTTACATAGTGCGCACATACCAAAAATTAATATACTGACATACCTTCGTTGGCATGCGAAAGGCAACCGCTTAGGGCTGCCACTCGACAGCTGCCTTTTTGTAATGAAGTCGAAAATTAACGCATTTTTCTCTGTTGCTCCATCAGCAGAGCCAGTGGAATCTGAGCAGGGAAAATGTGTGTGACGGTATGTCGTTTTTAATCGAAAAAAAGAGTTTGAAGATCTCAAAGAGAACTATATTTATTATTATGTTTTAGATTGTTTAAATAAATCTAAACAAGTTATTGGAAGAGAGGGTAAACGATTTGTACTCTTGTTTGCTTAATACTTATTGAATGCATGATATCGTATATTTAAGTGGGATAAGTTATAACATACCATACCAAACGATTTATTTTTGGTTTATATATAGTATATTATAATCTTATTTGAAAGCGCACAGACCTTCATTCTTTATGGTATTTAATCAACTAGGTTTCCAATTTGCATTTCCAGGCTTAGATCATCTACTAATTATCTACTAAAACATAAATTTGAATCAGTTTAGTTGCTGATTAGACTAACAAGTTGTATTCTCAGCTAGTATAATATTTTTATCTCATATCCTACGCTATAGTATATGTGTATAGTATATCATATCATATGATCGCACATATAACTAGCTACATTATGAATGCCATTGGCACACCGTTGCAATTCCCTTAATTGTCTTAATGCCAGCACCGGGCTTAGCTAATTTTATTTTTATTTTTATTTTCTTTTTTACTAAATTTTAATTTGCATTTGTCTCTCCATTGGGAGAGTTTGGTCACACTGTCTCGCGCAAATGGCTTAATTGACTCCAGAATGCGCGACGGCCACGTTCGCCTCCCGCGAGGTTTGCTGCTGTCATGCGGCTGCCCGCAGTGCCACGCCTCCCTCCACCTGCCTAGCTCCAATTGCCTCCATCAGCTGTGTGACTGCTAAAGCGCTTTGTTGAATTTATGTTTTCCAATTCATTTCACTTATTAGCTACAAATAAGCGAGACTGTGTGCGTGTGTGTGTGTGTGTTGGGGTAGCTCATTTGTATTGCATAATTTTGGGCGTTGGCAATTTGGAACAATTATTCGATTAATTGGCTGCGTATTGTTGCATGCTAATTAGTTGCTTGCATAAATCCAAATTTTCCCATGCAACTGCAAACGATATATCCATATGGATGTATGATGGATTATAGTGCAATCGAGCATCTGTCTCCAATCGCAATCGAACGCCATCAAATCTCTTGTGAAACATTGCTCCTCAGATCAAATCACAGCTGACAGCGCAGACACCGACTGACGCATTGATTCGCAGCCGTCGTCTTGGCATTGATGCCTGGACGCAGACACTGACAGCATCCATTTCAATATCTCAATTGCAATTACAGCTGCTAATTAACTTGGCCCAGACAGTCTTGTGGGAATTCATTTAATAATTCCACACGCAATCGCTCTCAGCCAATTTCGTCGTCTGCTCGTCTCGCTTCATTCTAATTACACATTAAATTTTCGGGAATTTAATGTTGAAGATTTTTTTGCACCTCGGCAAGTTTAAGCAAATCGAAGGAAAAACAAGTAAGAAGACTCTAGTCGAGACTGCTCGACTAGGAGATACCCTGAACCCTCTAATCTGATATTCACTCTGCACTTCTTTTCGGCACACATACATACACACGCACGTATTAGAACGCGCTCTGCTAACTGCGCAGTAAGCAGCGACTGCGCTTGTGCTGCGCTGTAGTGTGGGCAACATTATAAGAATTTATTTGTTGAATAATTTAATTTCTAGACGTACAATCTTAATGAAACTTTCAGGGCGTAATCATATGGTGAAAATGTGTGTACATTCTAAAGCACACGTCTCTAGTACTTGAAATACGCCTTTTACAAAGGTGAGGGTGAGGGGGTGGATATAGGGGTGGGGGGTAAATTACAAAAAAAATCGAAATTATATAAAATACATATAAGTCTACATATAAAATTTGGAAGCTCTAGCTTTAAAGGTGTAGGAGATATAATTAAATAACTAGCTTTCGATAAGGTTTTTAATCGATAATAAAATATCGGGAGTAGTTATCGATTATCGAAAAAGAAAAACTTGATATGCGCGTGATATACACGGACCTAGGAAAAAAAATTTCAAGTCTCTAGCTCTTATATCTTCTGAAATCGACGCGTTCATACATACGGACGGACAGACAGACGGACAGGGCCAAATCGACTCAGCTCGTCGCCCTGATCAAGAATATATATACTTTGTGGGGTCTGCCACGCCTCCTTCTGCCTGTTACATACTTTTAACAAAACCATTATACCCTGATTTCCCATTTTCAATGGGTTCAGGGTATAAAAACACTCATAAAAAATGGGAAAATGTGCGATTTTATTCTCACCGCGAACGGGGCAGCTGCACGAAATTGAATTTCCCAAAGGCCACGTGACGTTGCCATCAATTTTGGCCGCTTCCAACTCAATCCAGCTTCACTCTAATCAAATGCACGGCGCATATTCCAAATTCCGATTTCGATTTCCAATTGAAAGCTACAAAAATTTTATAAATTCCGGCGCACAGCAGAAATTGCAATAAATCAAACAAAAGCAAAAATGCAAATCAGTTGGTTTCGGGTGCGGGTATGCATGTGTGTGTGTATGTGTGAGTGTGTGTAGAAGCGAATGCAGCTCGCATGGGTGGCACTTTGCATACCCTGTACATTTTAGATGCCATTTATGGGCAAGGTAGGCGAGATGAGATATTCAATTAAATTTAAATTTAAAATATTTTCTTGTTTTTTTTTTTTTTTTTGATTATATATATCTCATAAATATTATATACATAAGATATATATAATTTTAAAAAACCATGTATTTAAAATTGAAATTTAATTAAAAAAATAAAAATAGTAGTTTTATTTAAAATTATACATTTTATGTAATATTAATTAAATTATAAAATTTTGTTTTATTAACATTTTGTTAAATTATTAAATTTTTAGATTATTTAGAAGATAAAACATTTTTTAACTTTTTATAAAAATATAAGATTTTTTAATTATTTATTTTGCGGTTGAAGCTATTTTTTTTTTATAGTTTATTTAATTTACGTTAAAATGCAAATATATATTTTATTATTATACAGTACACATATTGTATTAACATTTAATTAAAATTCAATTTCACGACTGAAATTTTTCATATGAGAATTTATTTTTCTTTTTTTTTAAATAATTTAAAGACTTTATTTAAAACCTTTTAGTTTCAAAGAATTTTATAGTATTTTTCGAGGCTAACTCGCAGTCGATCTTGGCCGCGTTGTCTTTTAGTTTATGAGCGCTGCCAGCTAAGCAATTGGCCTGGTCAGTGGAGCAATTCAGTGCCGAATAGTGTGGCGCACTGGTATTTTGTTGGGCCAAAAGGATTGGAGCAGCAGTTTCCAAAGTGCAAAGCAATTTGAAACCTAAAACTCAGCACAGAGCAGCCGTTGCATTGTGGTTGGTTTTTCTTGAAGCTGAAATTTCTGCTTGCTTTAATAAAAATAATACAAATTAAGCTTATATTATTATTATAAATATTTTTAAATAGATTTATTATTATATTTTGCATTTGATCTTTTGCAGGCTACTATGCTCTCCATGTCGTTGTTGTGGCCAGCCACGGCTGAGCTGTGCCCACTCGATCTCTGCCCCACTGTGAGCCAGAATGCGGCCGCCAATGGCCATGCAGTCGCCTGCAGCATTGCAGCAGAATGAAGTGTTGTTCCAGCAGGCGCACGTTCATGTACATGCAACGCCAGCAGCACCGCCCACACAGTTACAGGCGACACAGCATCCGCTCAGCTCAACGGGCCTAGAGTTGGATCAGCAGCAGCAGCATCATCATCATCAGCAGCAGCAGCAGCAGCAAAAGCAGACCAAACTGCCACCACTCGAACTGCTCGTCGAGCACAAGCTTAGCTATAGCTCAGCAGCCACATATCAGCAGCAGCAGCAGCAGCAGCAGCAGCCGCCTCAACAGGCGGCACAGGATCTCCGATATTCCTCACAGGCGCACAGCGACGATTGCCTGAGGAGCTCTGCACGCGCCTCCATCTTTGATGACGCCGCCGAGAATTTCATCATAAACTTTCCGGCTGAGTCATCGCTGCAATTGCAGCCGCTTCTACCACTGTCGGAGACGGTGCCACTGCTGACGCACATCGAGGCCACAGTGGTGGACAAACAGCGCTCCATACGGCTCAGCAAGAACAGCGCCTCGCTCATCTTTACCAAGAAGGAGCTCGGACCAAGCGGCGGCGGCGTCTGCCAGCAGCGACGCCAGCATCACAGTTTGTACGGCGCCGGCGAGCGTCAGCGCAAGCAGACCAAACATCTGCCGCCCACGCGCGGCCAGCAGCAGCGGCGCAGCCTACAGCTGAACTACAACAACAATCTGGTGACCACTGCTGCATGCATCAACGCCGGCACGGCTGGCCCTAATTACGCCGCCAACGGCGGCAAGCTTGTGCCGCACAAGCATCACACACACAGTCACAGTCACGGTCACGGCCAGAGTCACGGTCACGGTCACGGCCAGAGTCACGCCGGCGTGGGGCTGACATCGCCAACGGCGAACGGCGCCGGCGCCGCTGCCTCGACGCGCAAACAGCTCTCCTACTCCTGGTACGCGCCAGTCTATAGTGCGCTCGAGGAGGAGCTGGAGCAGGATTCGAGGGTAAGTTGAAAAGGGAGTGGGACAAGTTTCAACAAGCAAGAAATTGACAGGAGTCTAGTGAATCGAATAAACGATAAACATCGATTAAATAGAATAAACAATAAGCGATAAAAAGGAATAAACGATATTTCGATAGAATAGACAAAACCATAAGTCGGTCGAATATAATTAACGATAAGTCGATAGAATAGAACAAACGATAAGACGATAGTATTTAATAATCGATACATCGATTGCCTATATTCTTAAAATGAATATAGAATGAGAATAAAATAAAATAATAGATTTTTTTGCTTTAGCGAAATTATAAAATTATATTATTTAAAATATTGACAGCTTGCATTGACAATTGACAACTTGAATACATTTTAATAGTTATCGATAGTAAATATACGCGAGTTGTCAGCTACAATTTGCGGAAATCGATATATTGTTATTAATTGCAACGGGTTAAAGCTCGCTGCATTGCGTTAACTTTGATTTCCAGTTGCTTTACGACCTATGGCACCGAGCTAAATCTTGTCTGGAAATAGTCTGGGTTGTGATTTAGGTTAAATGCTATTTTCTATTTAATAACAGAGGGCATTAAAACGTGTTTGCTGGCAACGTGATTTATTGACTTTTATTAGATTGCCTTTAATAGCTAGCTCTGACGTCAGATGCAAACAAACTGGATTTATCGATTATACTAGAATAAAATTGCAAAAATTTCTATGTTGTTGAATTGAAAAGCAAAAAGAGAGAGAGAGGGAGGAATTCAATTGTGACAGATAGAAAAAGATAAAGGCAAAGCAATAGAGAGAGATAGACATATACAGGAACAGGGTGAGAAAAAGGAACAGAGTGAGGCAAAGGAACAAGTAGAAGCACAGGAACAGACAGAGGCAAATGAAAAACTGAGCAAATTATATAAATTCAGAGAGCGAAAAAGATTAGAAGGAAAATGGATCATACAAATGGATCACAGGTAGATTTCGAAATTATATAAAATTGCCAAAATAGCGAACAAGTATTATAAAGCTCATAATTACGTTCGGCTGCTAATTAATAAAGCAACTTCAAACTTGTAGAATTATCAATCAAGAAGAGAATTTTTGACACTATATTTTTTTGTTGCCTCTGAAGCTCTATTCAAATTCCAAATTCAAGTGAAGCTAAAATTCGATTTCTCTCGAAAATAGTTTCTTTTATGGGCGTAGTTAGAGAAATATCTTTATATATTCTATATGTATATATCTTCCATATATATGTAATACAAGTTTGTTTCGCACGCATTGCAGGATTCCTCGCCAATTCACAATCTGGCCAACACAAAGCATCAGACACGCGTCAGCAGCCAGCACAGTGCCACTGCCTCGCATGCCGCGCCGCAGCATACCGACTCGGAGACAAACGAGACAGTTGCGCTGCTGGAGACGCAGACGCAGGCGCGCAACAAGATCAACATCATTTCGGCTAGCGACGCAGCAGCTGAGCGCAAGGCGCAGCCGACGCGCGTCTCCCTCTCCCTGCCCGGCAACGGCCACAATCGGAATCATTCGCTGTCGGTCAGCAGCCTCGGCCTGGGCAATGGTGGCGCTGGAGCAGCCGGCACACTGCCGGCCGGAGTGCCGGATGTGGAGAGCTCGCTGGGACTTACGGGCGCTCAGTTGCCACGGCGGCGTCGCTTCGAGAACTTTCTCAAGTCGCTGGTCGGGCTCAAGGGCAGCAGCAGTCGCGGCAGCGAAAAGGATAAGGAGCGGGAGAGGGAGCGGGAACGGGAGCGGGAGCGGGAGCGTGAGCCGACGTCGAATCAGCGACCCGCCTCGCCAGAAATACGCATCACACGCACGCCCTCGGAACAGGATGTGGTGCTGCGCGATCCCGCTGGCCGGCACCACAATCACAACCACAACCACAACTACAACCACTACAACCACCAACAGCAGCAACAGTCCACCACCCAGCTAGCCAACGGTCATCAGGGCAGCAGTCGGCTGAGCATTAGCGGCTCGAGCAGCTCGCTGAATGTGGTGCAGCAGAAGCTGTGGCACATGGTGCGGCGCGAGGGCAGCGCCAGCAGTCTGCACCACGAGAAATCACAGTCGATTGTGCAATATACGGGCCTGCGCAAGTGCGAAACGGTCCTGGCTCTCACCCACCGGAGCCACTCGCTGCATCCCATGGGCTGTGCCGACGAGGGGCCCAGCAGTCGCGGCGGCAGCGGCATCTTCAGTGCTGGCGGCGTGGAGCAAATACGTCCGCTGAATCGGCTGCGTAACAGTGTCAATAGCATCAATGGAGCGGGCACCTGCTCGAGATGCTCCAGCCTATTGTCGTTGGCAGCTACCGGATCACGTTACTCCTTGGCCAATGGCTTTGTGCCGCGTCCCGAGTCGGCGCTGTCGCTGAGCATAAATCCGAAGCGCTCCAGTGCCTGCTACATGGACGCTGCTGGGGAGGAGCAGCTGTCGGAGCCGACGCACATCAATGTCAATGCGCAGATACGACTGAGCGATGGCAGCAATGCAGCAGCGATGCCAGCAACAACGACACTAACTGCTGCGCCTCCTGCTGCGCCTCCTGCTGCTGTTGCTGTTGGCTGTGGTTCACGCAAAAGTTCCGCTGGCCTGCCAAGTGTCAGCAGCCCAAGTCCGCCGTCCAATGTAACCACAGCAACGATGCACTCCACCAACAACAGCAACAACAATACCAATGGGATCAATGGCAACAGCGAGGAGCAACCGAGCACGGCCAGCAGCACAGCTGCCGGAGGTGGCATCGAACTGGGCGCCTTTGGCACCACCCATGCATATCCACTGACTGTCAGCTCACTGCAGTCCATGGCCAATGCCAATCAGGCGGCTCAGGCCTGCTCCGTGCGCGATGGCATCACACTGAAGCGGCGCGAAATGCTCGCCTCGGCGGATGTGACGCCATCAGCGGGCACACCGGCCACGCCCATACAATTTCAGCAATTCACCTGCAAGCTCTGCCTCATCGATGTGGAGCAAGCCGCCGAGGCCACAACGCTGCTGCAATGCGGCTGCCAGTTCTGCACTGAGGTAAGTTCGCTTTCCACTCTCATTTCTCTCACTCATAAACATCAACTGGAAAATTTTATTGATTCGCGTTGCGTTCGTTTTTGATCAGACTACGATAAATACATATGCCCTAAAGCTGCTTTAAGCTTTGGGTTATTTATGTGCCAATACACACACAACACCTGAGGCGGGGCAGGTGGGTGGGCTGGCATGAGATATCTGCTCATCTAGCTGCATATGTTCGTTTTCTTGCAAGTCTCTTGCCCCCGCGCACAGGTGAGAATTGAAAAATGAAGCCAAGGCAAACGCCATACATTTCACAGCCAAGGCAATTTTAACCAGAGTTTAACCCATGGATAGCTGTTGGGGGAAAATAAATATGGAATTTATTTGTAAAGAGTAAGGGGGGAAATGGGGATGGGATTTACTTGAAATAAATAGGAAATTTAATGATATTTGAGAAAATAGAAAGTTGAAGTTAAATTTATTATATTAGTTTATATATATATATATATATATATATATATATATATATATATATATATATAAGTTTATATATATTAGTTATATTAGTTTATATGGCTTAACCCATTCAAAAGGGGAATTCCAGAAAAACCTTGAAATATCGGCCTTCAAATGATATTTATTCCTGCTCACGATTTATATACAAAATTTTGTGATACCTCAAAAATATAAAATCAAAGTTAAATGTAAGAGTTTATTATATTATACTTTTTTAAAATGATATATAAGTAAACTTATTGAAAATGGGAAGTTTGGGTAAACTACGATTATTGGAGTGTAAACAGAGGCAGGGTGGAGTGTTTGAAGTATGGTAGAATCCAGTTATAACGGTGCTTCAGGGACCGTCGTTATATACTGCAGACGATATATGTTTTTCTGGGGACCCGAATTGTGGAGTCGTTATAATAAGACTCTACTATATATATTTGCTGACTCTGTACTTATATACGAGTCGATCGAGCTCTGCCTCAACTCAGGGACTTGTCATTATTGAAGAATTTTAAGAGCTAAAGACTTTATATTCCATACGTGAAGATTTTCTTCAAATTATTAATAAGAATTTTTATTTCCCTAAAAGTCATTTAGAAACTTTCACTATATATATATTCCATTGAGGAAGGATCATATTTGACTCCGAATATATCCTATCCTTAAGCTTCCCCCACTTGCTCGTCCTTGCTTTACTCTTACCTGTTTAATAGTTCATCGCAATTAACTACAAACTTTTCATTTATTAAAATCTGCTCAAGTCGCAGTCCGTGAGAGCCGCATCAAATTCAACTATAAATTTTCAGCAGCTCCAAAATATTTCCAATTTAGCTTGCAATTTCAATTTGCATAGAAAATTTGAGTTCTTAAATATGAAAATTTCGTTGGGTTCCATTAAAGGGTTAATGCAGCAGCTGTTGCTGCTGCTGCTGCAGCTGTTGCTGCTGCTGTTGCTCAGGTTAAAGTAATTCAGGTAAATGCTTTTTACAGGCAGCTCGGCTGCTTCTCTGTCTGTGTGTGTGTGTGCCGCATCACTTTATACAAATATGCAGCATGTAGCAACAAATTACATTTTAGGGCTTAGGGGCAAAGCGGGCGCGTTGGGGGCTGCTTCCCTTGAGTAGTTTGCTGCACAAAATTGCATGCAGCATTTTAAATAATTGAATCAGCGCCAAAAGTGAAGCTTGCAATGATTTCGAACTGCTTGCCACATTCCACATGCCACATGCCGCACTTGCCACGCTTGAATTTAATTTCCAGTGTCTAATACAGAACATAATTTCCCCTGTCCATTTTTTCACCTTCTTCTGTTTTCGCTGTTCCACATAAATAAATTAAACGTAATTCACACGTAAGAATGCTTAGAGTAAAAACAACAAGTGCGAACTCAGCCGAAACGGCAAATAAATATTATTTCGCCGCTCGTAGTCGAAGATTAAATGCTCTAATATTTGACCTTTTGGAAATTAAAACTGTTTTAGGTATTCAAATTTATGAAAAATATATTGAATATAGTGTTAAAAAATGAATAAACTAATTTTGGGGCTAGTCAAATTTTTAATATGTGTAGATATAATGTGGATATATATGTTTTTATTTGAAGAGGAAAAGCTTAAAATAATTTTAACTATTGCAAAATATTTAAAAAATTTTAATAAAAAGTAAAAAAAAAATATATTAAGAGCACAATTCATACAAATATTTTCTTAAATGTAGGGGAACATTTTTAGTGATAAAAAAAAAAAAAAAAAAAAAAAAAAAAAAAAAAAAAAACAAAACAATGTAATCCTTTAAAAAATAAAACTTGTTTTTTTTTTTATTTAATTTTTTTTTAATTTTAAATTTATTTATTTTATTTTTTAATTTTTTTTTATTTATTTATTATTATTATTTTTTTTTATATTATCTTTGATTCTAATTATAAATTTTATTAACCTTAGCTAAGAGTTCTTAAGGCCACTCTTATCTAAAAACCTCCAGAAATTCCGACTAAAATCTACATAAATTAAAGTAAAATATTATTTTAAATTTGCAAATTATATCCACCTTAATTAAAAAAAAAAAGAGCTAAAACAAGTTGCATTAACAAACTCCATTAAAATATGTTTACCCCGCTCAAACTGTTTGATATAACTCCGTATTTTCAGTCATAGCAACGGCGTTAAGCTTTATTGCTTTTTAAGCTGATGCAAGCTGCATGAGCAAATTATAATGCTGCCCTTCAGGGTATTTAGATAAAAAAAATAAAGTTTTTCTTGACTGCTGCACTAAATAAGTCTGCAGCTTGTTTTTGTTGTTTTTGCTGCTGCTGCTGCTGCTGCGCTAGTTGTTTATGTGCAGGTAAAATTTATTACAAACGCAAACACAAACACACAGACAGACAGACACACACACACACACTTAAGTAGACGTGAAACTGTCTACAGTTGCCGCTCAAACATGTCCACTGGCACTACGTGCTCCTTCCGACACGTCCTGCTGCTGCTGCTGCTGCTGCTCTATGACTCAGCCTCCAACTTGGACTCAGCTCTTGCCCGGTTTTAGCTACGTGCCTAATGCTAACAAATGTCACAGCTCTTACAGCCCAATCTCTACACCCTCTCTGCCCCTCTCCCACTGCTGCTGTTGTGGGTGTCGTTTTCCGCTGGCATTTGACACCCTAAAACTGTGAGGCCCTGATGTGCATGCAGTTCGCATTCAGCTCAAACTCCTTAAAGCTGAAAATGTGCTGGCATTGCACATACGCAGCGTTGCCTGCTGCCGGCTGCCGGCGCTTAATTGAAAATCTACACGCGCAAATTCCAATGCAAACACAATTTTTACATTCGTTTCGATGTCGTCGTCGTCGTCGTCGTCGACGTCGTCAGTTGTTTTTATGGTTGTTTATTTGTTTATCCCATAGTCTGGCTCAACGATGTCGCGCTGCATATATGTATAACTGCGCTTGTTTATGATTCACTGAGTTGACAAATTCGTTTGAGCTGCCACACATGGCCCGCCCCACCGCACTCCAGTGTAACCAAAACTAGTCGCAGAGCACCACAAATAACAAAAACAACAACAACAACAAATTCGTTTAGAACAGCATAAAAATATGTAGATACTCCGTATATGATATGAAATGGCATGTCACTTTTGTGCAGCATCATCATAATTCATATACACATACACATACATATACATGTATGTGTGCCAGCAGCACACTCATACAGCCAAAGCAAATGGATAAGGATGTTTTTCCCAGTTACCAGTTGGACTAAATGGAAAAGGAATGCGATTAGAGTAATGTTATTAAAGAGCAAATAGTTGATGTTGAAGTTGATAGCATGTAGAAGGGGAGAGAGATAGAGAGAGAGAGGCATACAGAAGAGACAATATGAATAAAGCTTAAATAAAAATATATATTAAAGGATGAAAGCCACAGAGTAAGAGCATATGATAGATGCTAATATTGTTGAAAGACAATATATTCAAAGCTTTGCAGTCTGAGTATAAGTATGAGAGACAATATAGGAGATTGAGTGTTGTATAGCCTCAAGTGTGAGTGCAGCAATCGAAACAAAAATATATAAAAGGAACTGTATGATTCGATAACACAGAACAAGAGCTTATGATTGATGCTGTTGCTCAGAGTTAATAGAGTAAGAGAAATGTTTTGCTGTATGACAGACAATAGAGTGTTTATAGTATGACAGACAATATAGAGAAATCTTTTATCATATCTCTGACAATATAGTCAGAAAAATCTTTTATCATATCTATAATCAATAGCTCTCGCTCTCAGCAGGAGCCTTCGGTTCTATTCGTTTCGGTTCTCACTATTCGTGTGAGGCTCGCTTAGAGAGCGATGCGATAGACATTCGTTCAAGAGCAATAGCTCAAAAGGTCAATGTGATCAGTATCCACATTCACATACACATTCACATACACATTCCCATTCTCATACTCAATTCACTTACAATACCTTCTCTAAACTCAACCCGAACGTTTGAGAAAAACCAAGTGTGGAAAACCCCGATCGCGAACGAACTCGTTGAATAACCGAGGCAATAGGCTGCTCTCAGAGTTTTTTTTCTCAAGGTATAAGCAAAAGACGCTTATATTTGCATAAAATATTTTTTTTCTATGTATATATATGAATGCTTAGTATTTATATAAATATATACATCAATACTCATACACTCAGATATACATCAATACTCATATTTCTAAGATTGATTTTATTGAAAATAGTTTATTTTTTTTCATAATCTTGATTGCCATAAACATAAGAAATATGATATTTTCTTGTATTTATTTTGCCTTTGCCTGAAACGTTTGAAATGTTTATTGATGAGTTGGCAAAGCAATAAAACCCATAAATCGTTTCAGAATGCATTACGTTTTAAATTTATTGTCTTCTATTTCTTGTTTTATTGCCATTTGAAATCCATACATATATATATGTATATACAAATATAAATATATATATGTACTATAAGGAATAACTCATTTCTTTATTGTTATTT